CGTACAGCAACATTTGGGATCATTGCTCATTGAATCAATCACTGGTTTGTCTGGTCCGCACTTGATTATGTTATAGACCACCATCATATACCGTATTCGACGTAATAAGCGCCCCACTCTAGTAAGTGCCCACGGCGATATTTGCTAATATATTGGCGAGTGAACAATCCCATTTAGCACCCCTTCCGTTAGATCAATGTACACAAGATATATTTCTTCGCATATAATACGCACTCGTGTGCTAAATGCACCCTTAATTATGGGCAATTAAATTCTGGAAAAATATATTTGTCGTACATAAACATTTCAGGCTGTCAGCATAAACCACAAAATTTATCTTTCAACTCTGTTTTTTTCACCAAAATGATATTCTTATAAGAGCCCCCTATTTCTAATTTTGAGAGCGCCCTGGGCGCTTATTACGTCGAATACGGTAGCTGGAATATTGATGAGTGCGGCTTTGACCAGTGGCAACTAATGGATTGGATGGTCAGATTTGGTTATGTTATTGACCTCCATCATATAGCTGGAATATTGATGAGTGCAGCATTGACCAGAGGCAACAAATGGTTTGGATGGTCAGATTTGATTATGTTATAGACCTCTATCATACAGCTGGAATATTGATGAGTGTGGCATTGACGATGAATGCGGCATTGACCAGAGGAAACAAACGGATTGGATGATCAGACTTGCTTATGTTATAGACCTCCATCATATAGCTAGAATATTGATGAGTGTGGCATAGAGCAGAGGCAACAAACGGATTGGATGGTCAGATTTGATTGACATTGCTCTCATTTCAACCAATGGTTTGTCGGGTTGAAACTTTGACCAATAAGCAGATGAACCAACTGCCAGAGCACCAGAATTGATGGCAGATTTAGAGACATTCCATCAACAATAGTGTTCAAGAACATGTCTGTTGGCTGATTAGTTCTGTACACTAAGGAAGTGAGTATCATGGTATCATCAATCACATCTCTTCACGCTACTTCACGGAGGGGGTAGGGGAATATGCTACTCCACTTGTGATAGGGATACCTTTAATCTTTCCGTGACACACAAAACAACCTTATAATAAATCAAGTATATCTAAATAGAATGACATATCTGATTATCCCTGTCACAAATTGAGTAGTATGTTATACATTCATTTAACCATGTCTATGTGTAGTACTGTTGTATGTACTTTCTGATTGGCTTCTGTGAAATCTTTTCAGTGCTACTGGTCACCCAAACCTGTACGGGTATCAATGGAGCATACAGGGTTAGTTGAACTGTTGGAACACAAGAGGTGCATGACATCCTGCTGTGAGTCCACATGACATCCCGCTGTAAGACCGCATGACATTCTGCTGTAAGATCACATGACATCCTGCTGTAAGACCCCATGACATCCTGCTGTAAGACCACATGACATCCTGCTGTAAGACCAGATGACATCCTGCTGTAAGACCACATGACATCCTGCTGTAGACCACATGCAATCCTGCCGTAAGACCACATGACATCCTGCTGTAAGACCACATGACATCCTGCTGTAAGACCATGTCATCCTGCTGTAAGATCACATGACATCCTGCTGTAAGACCACATGACATCCTGCTGTAAGACCACATGACATCCTGCTGTAAGACCAAATGCAATCCTGCTGTAAGACCAGATGACATTCTGCTGTAAGACCACATGACATCCTGCTGTAAGACCACATGACATCCTGCTGTAAGACCACATGCAATCCTGCTGTAAGACCAGATGACATCCTGCTGTAAGACCACATGACATCCTGCTGTAGACCACATGCAATCCTGCTGTAAGACCACATGCCATCCTACTGTAAGACCACATGACATCCTGCTGGAAGATCACATGACATCCTGCTGTAAGATCACATGACATCCTGCTGTAAGACCACATGACATCCTGCTGTAAGACCACGTGACATCCTGCTGTAAGACCACATGACATCCTGCTGTAAGACCAGATGACATCCTGCTGTAAGACCACATGACATCCTGCTGTAGACCACATGCAATCCTGCTGTGAGACCACATGACATCCTGCTGTAAGACCACATGACATCCTGCTGTAAGATCACATGGCGTCGACATGACTACTAGCGTCTGCAGATTCTCTGGACATTGGTCTATTTGTAACACCTTACTCCAAGGCTTCAGGTTTGTCATATTGGCTGACTGATAATGTGTGACCTGATGTTGTATCGACTATATGCTACAAAACAACTGGTTAATTACAAGCTGCCTGGATAAAGCTTGCCTATTGCTCACTGCCGCATAAAGCGATAGTACCTCTCTTGGTGATACTGGGTCGTGGGTTGCCATTGACTATGGGTTCGAATCCCGGTTTGCCCCGATTATGTTTCTAGGTTTGTCAGCCTTTTACCCGTGCTCGTGGGTTTCACTTACACGCATCAGCATATGTAAGAACCGCGACTCGGTATACAGGCCTCGACAACATTACAATGTTGTAATACGTGTTTAATGGCGTTTTAAAATGGGGTTTTAAAATATGGTTAGTAGGGTTGCAAGGGACCCTGATTGCTGATTTCTCCCCTTGCATTTCGAACCTTGGACTTTGGACAATTACTGCATATATTGATAAATGCAAACTTTTATTTCTTGGTCGTTTATGCAATCTGAACTGTAATAACTTTGCAAAAGATATTTTCTGCGCGTCCATTGCAAGCCCTGTCAACTCAAAGACAATCTGTGGAGAACTTAAATCAACACTTGATAAATACAATCTGGGTCCCTACCTTCGTACATATACTCAGTACGGTACTTTCCCTCCAAAATTGAAATGGAGAAATCGTGTTAACGAAACTATATGCAAATACGAAGAACAATCATGGCTCACAAATGTATAAAATAACGCAAGCATGTCCCGTTATAAGAGAATTCATACGAAATTAACATACCATTTACTTTGGCAACTAGCTTTTCTGTACCCGGAATATCGACCTGCTTTACAACTGTGAAAGTCTCATCACCCAGTAAACTTTCGAAAGAGTGCATGCTCTGTAATAGGCATGCTTTCGACTATGAAAGCCACATTATTTTACATTGTGAAGCGCTGATATCAGAAAGAAATGCGTTTTTCTCTTCTCTCATTGACGTACTTGACGTTCAAAAATATGTTGATTTTGAAATGCAAGACCAAACAGATATGTTATCAGTCTTATTTGGGGCTGAAACAAAATTTACTCACAATCTGGATCAACACACCTGGGAAACTATTATACTTCAATTCGCCTCGTATCTGTACAAACTAAGGCATCTTTTGATATATATCTTCTAGTGAAAATCTGTCATCATTTAGGTATCTGAATTTGATAAACTGTGTGTAATTGTAAATATGTTATGCCTTTTTATTGTGTTAACTGCGTGTAATTGAATATATTTTCATTGTAATCTTCGGAATGACATCTGGAGGAAATAAAGAATCTCTCTCTCTCTCTCATGAAAATCAGATCTTAGTTCTCGCTAACGCTAAACAAAGATATGAGGACATCCCATAAGAGGTCACGTCAGAACGACCTTTCATCCGACCAATCAGAGCGTCGCTTACCAGATCATGAAAGTGACAGTCGGAACGTGATTTTCAATCTTGCAACCTTGAAAACTTTAACACAGGGTATTCCGAACGATAGTTACGGGTTTAACGACTAAATCCATACAATCTAGACCATCTAATAGCCATTCCAGAATGTTCTTTTGTTCAGGTTTCAAATTTTTAATCGAGAATTTGTCAAAATATGTTTCGAAGCGTAGTCGCCAATTTGAAATTAGTGCCACGTAAAGCACGAGAAATCTGCCTTCTGATTGGCTTATGTCGACTTCTTGTCAGTTCTTCAAAAGGTCGGTCAAAGTTCGCCCAAGGTCGGTCTGACGTGACCCGTAATGGGATGTCCTCTGATCTTTGTTTAGCGGTAGCTAGAACTAAGATCTGGTTTTAATGAGATTAATAACTAAAACACTGTTCGGCGTTAATACCAACTCATCAACTCACTTACCTCTTGTACAACTATGGAGCATTCAACAGGGACCAGGTATCTTCCCGAACACCGATGCGGGTTTGAAAACAATATTTTGACATATATTTTGATTTTCAACATGTTCAGTCATTTATTTGAACTGGCAATGTGGCTAACAGTAAACAGCATTGACAGCAATAGATGAACGCGGTTACCTTTCGAACGGTTTTTGCACATCTTGCTTTGCGATTATATGATTAAATTCTTTCATATTTCTATAGTTAATCTGTCATCACATTATAGATTAACTATATTAATATGAAAGAATCGGGGATCCTTAACTTTCTTGAGTAGCATACATTTTGGCTGTATCCAAACATGATTAAACTTTTAAGGGGTGTTGTTATCCTTATTGTTGCGTAGATGACCAAATTGGCACGTGTAACCGTTTGCTCTTTACGTGAATAAAATAGATTATATAGGCAAATATATTAAACCTACACAAGCATCATATATACAGAACCTAAAATATATTAACTGTTGTCCTTTAGGTTGGGACCTTCATTTTCAGGAGTAAAACAATCTGGACATCTTGAGTAGTTATATTGTCTGCAGTTCTGTTGACTGGAAGGCGGTGGTGTGGCCTAAATAAACGTTGTCGAGGACCCGGGTTCGATTCCCCACATGGCTATGTGTGAGGCCTATTTCTGGTGTCTTCGTCGTGGTATGCTTGCCTGGACTATTGCGGCGTAAAACTCACTCATTTTGTTGCGTGATATTACGTGCATTATTATTTAATATAACCATCTGTCATTGTGAACAAGTCCACAGGTCTTTAACACCACAATGATAAAGTGTCAATGTCCACCCTTTCAAAGCTGCCCACAGGTCTTCAACATCACAATGATATAGTGTTAAAGTAGACCCATTCACTGCTGCCTAAAGGGTATTCGTTAGCTGTCGCCAGACGACAATACTCTCTCTGTGGATGAGATATAACGAAGCTAAAGCGAGCAGACGACAGAGCGCGGCTTGATACTGTGGCTGGATTGGGTCGATATCTTGGGGATGTCGACCATTGTAGATGTCAGAGTGTACTGTATTGACACGAAGGAATCTCGCCATTTTCTGTGTCTGGCAGACGATAACAGATCTGGTTGATGTTAGGCAGGAGTTAAGGCTGATGAATTAACTGCACCCGGATCTGATTGATCAGAACGCATCGCCTGGATCAACAGCCACTGTGTATGAGACAAAATGAGAGTTATGATTGGATGTTAACAGAACCTTTCTTGGCTGAACATCAAACGTGGCACCCGAATACATCAGTACATGGCGTCCGCATGCCCTGTGATCAGATGCCGACCTCGGCTGAGCCCGAATCTTATGTCTCCGTGTCTTGTCGTCTGTACATGAAGAATGGTGGTCAGTTTGATTGAGACCAGTGTTCGAGCCAGTGAGACGATGGAAGGGAGTTGCTCTTCTGACGAGAGCGGGAATTGGTACTGGCAGGATTCGTCTCTCGTTTGCTACCTGTGTGGGGAGCTGTTTCGTCGGCCCCGCATCTTACCGTGCGGACACACCTTCTGCACCGACTGCCTGGCCCGACTCAGAGAAGAAGTCATCAGGGAGGGCAAGCTTGCGGGAACCTATAACCCCAAGCACGCCGAGATCGGCCATTTCGTGTGCCCAATGCCGGAGTGTTCCTACTCCATGAGACTCATAAACCTACATCGCTTCACCACGAAGAACAAAACAGTCTCTGATGCCGTGGGACAATTCAGGAAGAAAATAGGGGCAAAACAGGTAAGAGACAAAATGTAATTATCATTATGTGTTTAACCCTGCTCTTCACAATATTCGAGCTTCATGACATCGGCAGTTAATAACCCCGTGATTGACATAATGAACAACGAACGCCCAAAGCCGTAATTGTAGATGACACGCTTTCAAGTCTGACTGACCCACGATCCATTTAGTCGCCTCTTACAAGTAACAGAGTGGTGGGGACCCATTCTAACCCGGGTACCCACAGGGCCTGAGGACATTCCAAACAGCACAGATTGGGAAAAACAGTTGAATAAGTTCGCATGTGTGTATAGACTTGCACAAGTCTGTAAGGCAATAATTATTAGTTCAAGTCATAATTTCTAGATTATGTAAATAATAAGAACAAGTTTTCCCTGTAAGAGACTGGAGTCCTTTCTGTCCACATATCTAGACTTGCCTAGAAAGAAGTGATAGAATTACTACACATTCATAGACTTTTCATTCAGTACAGCCTTGGAGCAAGGCTAATGTGTGTTCAACCTAGGATGCCCCACAAACTGCGCATACACTGAAACACATCTGCTGTTAGATGTTCATAGGCAGTCATTGTGTTTCATTGGACCTAAGAGTGTATACAATGCCTATCTGAATTACTAACATGCCCTACATTGTAACAACGTACATGGATTATTAATACATGCGTTTGTTATCATGCTGGTGGGCGTTAGGGGAAACTAATATCACCTCGCCAGACGCACGTTTGCAGAATAGCATCATGGTAGAGCAACGTGTGACATCATCGTTTACTATTAACTCACAGAATGGACAGTTCCAGAAAAGCCTCTTGTTGTGTCACGTTCCTAGGTAATATATGAGAGATAGAATATTGAGTGAGTATGGTTTTACGCCGCTTTTAGCAATATCACGGCGGGGGACACCAGAAATGGGTTTCACACATTGTACCCAGTGCCGTAGCCAGCCCAGCCGAGGCGGGGGGCGCAGGGGCAGTTGTGATACTTGTATAAATATTTGAACCCCCCCCCCCCCCCCCCCCCCTGTCAAAAAAAGTTAACTACGGCATGGTACCCATGTCGGGAATTCGGGTCTTCGGCGTGACGAGCGAACGTTTTAACCATTAGGCTACCCGATCGCCCCAATAGAATATTGAGTTTCAATAGCGATATCAATAATTTACAAAGAAAATCATACTGTTTATATTCCATGTCTCTAGAGGGGGTAAGCTGTGTGGTGTATTTTGTCCAGGGGAAGTCAGTGGTGTAGTACAATGGGTCTAGAGGAAGTCAGTGGAGTAGTACATTGGGTCTAGAGGAAGTCAGTGGTGTAGTACATTGGGTCTAGAGGAAGTCAGTGGTGTAGTACAATGGGTCTAGAGGAAGTCAGTGGTGTAGTACAATGGGTCTAGAGGAAGTCAGTGGTGTAGTACACTGGGTCTAGAGGAAGTCAGTGGTGTAGTACATTGGGTCTAGAGGAAGTCAGTGGTGTAGTACATTGGGTCTAGAGGAAGTCAGTGGAAGTCAGTGGTGTAGTACACTGGGTCTAGAGGAAGTCAGTGGTGTAGTACAATGGGTCTAGAGGAAGTCAGTGGTGTAGTACATTTGGCCTAGGGGAAGTCAGTGGTGTAGTACAATGGGTCTAGAGGAAGTCAGTGGTGTAAGTACAATGGGTCTAGAGGAAGTCAGTGGTGTAAGTACAATGGGTCCAGAGGAAGTCAGTGGTGTAGTACACTGGATCTAGAGGAAGTCAGTGGTGTAGTACAATGGGTCTAGAGGAAGTCAGTGGTGTAGTACAAAGGGTCTAGAGGAAGTCAGTGGTGTAGTACATTGGGTCTAGAGGAAGTCAGTGGTTTAGTGCAATGGGTCTAGAGGAAGTCAGTGGTGTAGTACAATGGGTCTAGAGGAAGTCAGTGGTGTAGTACAAAGGGTCTAGAGGAAGTCAGTGGAGTAGTACAATGGGTCTAGAGGAAGTCAGTGGTGTAGTACAATGGGTCTAGAGGAAGTCAGTGGAGTAGTACAATGGGTCTAGAGGAAGTCAGTGGTGTAGTACATTGGGTCTAGAGGAAGTCAGTGGTGTAGTACAATGGGTCTAGAGGAAGTCAGTGGTGTAGTACAAAGGGTCTAGAGGAAGTCAGTGGTGTAGTACATTGGGTCTAGAGGAAGTCAGTGGTGTAGTACAATGGGTCTAGAGGAAGTCAGTGGTGTAGTACAAAGGGTCTAGAGGAAGTCAGTGGTGTAGTACATTGGGTCAAGAGGAAGTCAGTGGTGTAGTACATTGGGTCTAGAGGAAGTCAGTGGTGTAGTACACTGGGTCTAGAGGAAGTCAGTGGTGTAGTACACTGGGTCTAGAGGAAGTCAGTGGTGTAAGTGCAATGGGTCTAGAGGAAGTCAGTGGTGTAGTGCAATGGATCTAGAGGAAGTCAGTGGTGTAGTACAATGGGTCTAGAGGAAGTCAGTGGTGTAGTACATTTGGCCTAGGGGAAGTCAGTGGTGTAGTACAATGGGTCTAGAGGAAGTCAGTGGTGTAAGTACAATGGGTCTAGAGGAAGTCAGTGGTGTAAGTACAATGGGTCCAGAGGAAGTCAGTGGTGTAGTACACTGGATCTAGAGGAAGTCAGTGGTGTAGTACAATGGGTCTAGAGGAAGTCAGTGGTGTAGTACAATGGGTCCAGAGGAAGTCAGTGGTGTAGTACAATGGGTCCAGAGGAAGTCAGTGGTGTAGTACATTGGGTCTAGAGGAAGTCAGTGGAGTAGTACAATGGGTCTAGAGGAAGTCAGTGGAGTAGTACAATGGGTCTAGAGGAAGTCAGTGGTGTAGTACAATGGGTCTAGAGGAAGTCAGTGGTGTAGTACAATGGGTCTAGAGGAAGTCAGTGGAGTAGTACAATGGGTCTAGAGGAAGTCAGTGGTGTAGTACATTGGGTCTAGAGGAAGTCAGTGGTGTAGTACATTGGGTCTAGAGGAAGTCAGTGGTGTAGTACATTGGGTCTAGAGGAAGTCAGTGGTGTAGTACACTGGATCTAGAGGAAGTCAGTGGTGTAGTACACTGGATCTAGAGGAAGTCAGTGGTGTAAGTACAATGGGTCCAGAGGAAGTCAGTGGTGTAGTACACTGGATCTAGAGGAAGTCAGTGGTGTAGTACAATGGGTCTAGAGGAAGTCAGTGGTGTAGTACAATGGGTCTAGAGGAAGTCAGTGGTGTAGTACATTGGGTCTAGAGGAAGTCAGTGGTGTAGTACATTGGGTCTAGAGGAAGTCAGTGGTGTAGTACAATGGGTCTAGAGGAAGTCAGTGGTGTAGTACAAAGGGTCTAGAGGAAGTCAGTGGAGTAGTACAATGGGTCTAGAGGAAGTCAGTGGTGTAGTACAATGGGTCTAGAGGAAGTCAGTGGAGTAGTACAATGGGTCTAGAGGAAGTCAGTGGTGTAGTACATTGGGTCTAGAGGAAGTCAGTGGTGTAGTACAATGGGTCTAGAGGAAGTCAGTGGTGTAGTACACTGGGTCTAGAGGAAGTCAGTGGTGTAGTACATTGGGTCTAGAGGAAGTCAGTGGTGTAGTACAATGGGTCTAGAGGAAGTCAGTGGTGTAGTACAAAGGGTCTAGAGGAAGTCAGTGGTGTAGTACATTGGGTCAAGAGGAAGTCAGTGGTATAGTACATTGGGTCTAGAGGAAGTCAGTGGTGTAGTACACTGGGTCTAGAGGAAGTCAGTGGTGTAGTACACTGGGTCTAGAGGAAGTCAGTGGTGTAAGTGCAATGGGTCTAGAGGAAGTCAGTGGTGTAGTGCAATGGATCTAGAGGAAGTCAGTGGTGTAGTACATTGGGTCTAGAGGAAGTCAGTGGTGTAGTACACTGGATCTAGAGGAAGTCAGTGGTGTAGTACACTGGATCTAGAGGAAGTCAGTGGAAGTCAGTGGTGTAGTACACTGGGTCTAGAGGAAGTCAGTGGTGTAGTACACTGGGTCTAGAGGAAGTCAGTGGTGTAGTACATTGGGTCTAGAGGAAGTCAGTGGTGTAGTGCAATGGGTCTAGAGGAAGTCAGTGGTGTAGTACATTGGGTCTAGAGGAAGTCAGTGGTGTAGTACACTGGGTCTAGAGGAAGTCAGTGGTGTAGTGCAATGGGTCTAGAGGAAGTCAGTGGAGTAGTACAATGGGTCTAGAGGAAGTCAGTGGTGTAGTACATTGGGTCTAGAGGAAGTCAGTGGTGTAGTACAATGGGTCTAGAGGAAGTCAGTGGTGTAGTGCAATGGGTCTAGAGGAAGTCAGTGGTGTAGTACATTGGGTCTAGAGGAAGTCAGTGGTGTAGTACATTGGGTCTAGAGGAAGTCAGCGGTGTGGTACATTGGGTCTAGAGGAAGTCAGTGGTGTAGTACATTGGGTCTAGAGGAAGTCAGTGGTGTAGTGCAATGGGTCTAGAGGAAGTCAGTGGAAGTCAGTGGTGTAGTACACTGGGTCTAGAGGAAGTCAGTGGTGTAGTACACTGGGTCTAGAGGAAGTCAGTGGTGTAGTACATTGGGTCTAGAGGAAGTCAGTGGTGTAGTACATTGGGTCTAGAGGAAGTCAGCGGTGTGGTACATTGGGTCTAGAGGAAGTCAGTGGTGTAGTACATTGGGTCTAGAGGAAGTCAGTGGTGTAGTGCAATGGGTCTAGAGGAAGTCAGTGGAAGTCAGTGGTGTAGTACACTGGGTCTAGAGGAAGTCAGTGGTGTAGTACAATGGGTCTAGAGGAAGTCAGTGGTGTAGTACACTGGGTCTAGAGGAAGTCAGTGGTGTAGTACAATGGGCCTAGAGGAAGTCAGTGGTGTAGTACAATGGGTCTAGAGGAAGTCAGTGGTGTAGTACATTGGGTCTAGAGGAAGTCAGTGGTGTAGTACATTGGGTCTAGAGGAATTCAGTGGAGTAGTACAATGGGTCTAGAGGAAGTCAGTGGAGTAGTACAATGGGTCTAGAGGAAGTCAGTGGTGTAGTACACTGGGTCTAGAGGAAGTCAGTGGTGTAGTACAATGGGTCTAGAGGAAGTCAGTGGT